GTGAGAGAATAAACTTCTCTTTGTTAAAGCCATCCACTTACGGTATTTCTGTTACAGCAGCACTAGATAACTAAGACATGGTCTGACAATTCTCCTCATGGCTAGGCACTCTCATTTCCTCTGGATGATATGACTCCCAAGTTAATCTTAATCTAAACCCAGCTTGGTTCTAACTCAGTTATTTCACTGTTCATTTGGCTCCAGTACATGCCACAGGCCTGCCATTTTGGGATTCTTTATCTTGTTACATTTTTCTTTTTGTCCAACTGTATAACCATGATCAATACACTCTCTATGGCTCAATTCCCTGTAAAATGGGGGCAACAGCTTCTAACCTCAGTGATGCTACTCTCACATGTGTGCTAAAAGAGAGGCACTGTGCACAGTACAGATTCATTATATCTGAAGGATTACATATTGCTTTCTTGTGCTTGAAGTTTATGCCTGTCTTCCTTTCAATCCACCACAAGCATGTACTCGTGTGATGTTTACTGATACGTGCTCCGATTACAGATTGAAAGCATTCACAATGTCAGCCACTGGCAGCAGTTCACCATCCTATAGCTTCTAACTTTCTTTTCTTTGTTTAACAAGGAAAACAAATATGACCAAAGGAGCTGAAGGAACAGTCTTGGAGACACACACTGTTTCTGATTATTCATAGCACAAATACCAAAGAAGCAGCAGCACTGTCAGTTTGATGTGATGCAGTGGTTAAAGTGCTCAGCTGCTAACGGAAAGGTTGGCAGTTCCAACCCACCCGCTGCTTCATGGGAGAAAGATGTGGCAGTCTGCTTCTGTAAATATCACAGCCTTGGAAAGCCTCTGGGGCAGTTCTACTCTGTCCTATAGGGTTGCTATGAGTCGGAATTGACTCGACAGCAACAGGTTAATGGGTTATCTCATCAGCATGACTCAGTCTCAGCTGTCTCCACCTTCTTGGAGTATGCGGCCTGTGTGCTGGGGTAGGGAAGCTTAACCAAGAACCTCCATGCCTCGCTTAGTTAAGTACTCCTTCTCGAAAGCCCAGCACTGCGTATGTGCCACAAAGAAAGCAAAACAAAGCAAAACGAAAAGGTATGTCTAATCTATAATGGCCTCAGGTAATCCTATTTAAATTTACTTCAGATTTAAACCAAAGGATGCAAGCCTGGCCAACAGCTATAACAAGTCATGTTAGAAACCTTAAAACTGATTTAATGGATCTCACACACACACGTATTCCAAACAAAAGAAAAATCTTTTCTCCCCCTAGGATTTCTAAAGAAATATCTCTAACTCTAGATCTCAAGTGGACTTCTTGAAATTCACAGTACAAAAATAATGTCAAAAAAAATGTAGCCAATCAGAGTCTCACCAACAGGGCTAACAGTTATTTGAACTCAGTTGGGACAATGTTTTTATTTGTTATTATTGTTGCCATTTTTTGGACCCTGAATTTTCCAGGTGCTTGCACTAGTTTTTAGTTTATGTGCCAAATACCCTTTTTTGTAGGTTCTTTTCCAAAGCACTTTCTAGAGACTCAAAGACAGACTAAGGTGTTTCATTAGATCAGATTTATAATAACCTCCAAGACAAACCGAAAAAAACAAAACCAAAAAACCAAACTCAATGCCACTGAGTTGATTCCGACTCATAGTGACCCTATAGGACAGAGTAGAACTGCCCCATAGGGCTTCCAAGGAGCAGCTGGTGGATTCGAACTGCCAACCTTTTTGGGTAGCAGCCAAGCTCTTAACCACTGCACCACCAGGGCTCCCCAGGAACCACATAAGTCAAGGAAACTCCCTCTGACCTGGGCAAGCCTGCTGTGAGCAGTGTCTCCAAGTGACTCTGCCAGTTCTGGACAGGGCTTAGTGCCAGGTGCTCACAAGGGTCTGTGCTGAATAAAAAGTACTCCTTGGAAGGGTCTCTCTGCACATTCCATTCCTGGGATGAGGGCACGTAGAGAAGAAGTCGAAAGCAAGGTTCTGTACCCAAATTTTTGAAAAGTAAACATCCCAATATGGAAACATTGCAAGACAGAAACGTATAGCTATCTTATTATCATGTAACACTGTACAAAGTTATTGAAAATAAGTAAATATATCATTAAGTGGAATTCCTCAGTCAGTCATGTGTCTATAACTATGTGAAAAAGCACATAAAAAAGGGTTTAAATTTAATCAGAAAAGATGTCACTTTCATAACTTGTATGAGCAATGTATGTACTTCAAGTCATATATTTGATTCCTTGTTCATGGGTAGCCATCTAGAGCTATGCCACTAGCCACAGGTGGCTACTAAAATGTAAGTTAATTAAAATTTAAAATTCACTTCTTTAGTCACATGAATCCTATTTCAAGTGCTCAATGGCCACCTGTGGTGAGTGCCTCCACACTGCTTAGTACAGCTCTGTAGTATTTATGTCACCACTGACAGTTCTATTGGACCACACTGACCTAGACTGTTTGAAACTCCATATACTTCTTTCCCATAAAGTGCTATCCACTTGAAAAGGATATGTAATTAAAGGATACGTAATTAACACACCAAGTGTTTCCTGCCCTTCCTTCTGAATGGCATCAAAAGCACATAAAAATAGAGTGTTAATTCTTGTTTCTTCAATTTGTGTTTTCATGTTAGGAGCTGATAGAAAAAAAAATGATTTGATGAAGTGGCATCTCTACTTTTTACTTCTGTTCTAGTACTGCTTTGAGGGTAATTTAATATTTCAAGAAAGATAACCTCAAAAGGCAATGCCAGGGCTCTTACATAAGTGTCCTTTATTGCAAGTAATACAAGACAATCTTCACACTTGAAAATCTCTGGATGATATAGCCCCTCTGGAAAACATTTTGGCAGTTTCTTATAAAACTAAATGTGCAATTACTATACAGCTCCACAACTGCACTCTTGGGCATTTATCCAAGATAAATTTGTATATGTTCTCACAAAAACCTATATACAAGTATTTATTATGGTTTTATTCATAACAGCCCAAAACTGGAAACAACTCAGATGTCCTTCAACAAGTGAAGGTTTAAAAAAACCATGGTACATCCATACTATGGAATACTATTCAGCATAAAAAGCAACAAACTATTAAAACATGCAACAACCTAAATTGAATCTCCAGGTAAGTATGCTGTGATGGTTAAGATTGTATGTCAACTTGGCTAGGCCATGATTCTCAGTGTTTTGGCAGTTGTGTAATGTTGTGATCACTTCCCTGTTGAAATTTGATATGTGATCACCCCCATGATGGAATCTGCTGAGTGGTACTGGTGCGGGCGAGGCCTGTGACAGCTCACCACCCCCTCAGCCTTCATCTCTCCACCTTCTGCTAGTTACTTCCTGCTGCTCGCCTTGCCAAGGTTTTTGGCTTGTTCTAGACCCAGCAGCTGCCTCTTGTCATCTCACCTCCTGTTCTTGGGACTTGAGCTAGCAGCTTACCTGTCAATCCTGGGATTCATCGACCTTCACAGCTTGTGAGCGGGAGCCCTGCTCCCTGACCTGCTGATCTTGGTTCGCCAGCTTCTGCGGCTATGTGAATTGGGAGAGGCCTCTACCCTGATCCATGGACTTGGAATGTTCTAGCCTCTACAATCGCGTGAGCTGTTTCCTTGATATAAATCTCTCTCTGTATGTATTTATACACTTTACTGGTTTTGCTTTGCCAGAGAACCCAGCTTAAGACATATGCTGACTGAAAAATGAAAAAAATCAATACTACCAATAGGTCTACTTCTATAAAATCTGTTGCCATCAAGTCGATTCCAACTTCTAGCAACCCTATAAGAGAGAGTAGAACTTCCCCACAGGGTTTCCAAGGCTGTAATCTTTATGGAAGCAGACTGCCACTCCTCTCTCCTGCGGAGTAGCTGGTGGGTTCAAACTGCTGATCTTTCAGTTAACAGTCAAGTGCTTAATCACTGTGCCACTAGGGCTCCTTTCTACTTCTATAACATTCTTGAAATTAATGGTTGCCACAGGTTAGAGAGGAGCCTGTGGTTATAAAACGCAACACAACACATCATTGTGGTGTTGGAACTGTTCAGTATCTTGACTGTGGTGGTCAACAAACAAACCCTTCCCTCTTCCCCTAAAACCAAAAAACCGTTGCCATCATGTGGATTACAACTCATAACGACCCTATAGAACAGAGAAGAACTGCCCCATAGGGTTTCCAAGGAGTGGCTGGTGGATTCCAACTGCTGACCTTTTGGTTAGCAGCCGAACGCTTAAGCACTACCCCAATAGAGCACCCCCCTCCTTTCCCCTAGGCACACATAAACACAAACAAGTATAAATAAAACTGGGGAAATCTGAGTAAGATAAGTGGACTGCATCAATGTCAATATCCTGGTTGGGACACTATTTTGCAAAACTTTACCATCGTGGTAACTGGCATCTCTGTATTATTTCTTATAAACTGTATGTGAATCTACAATTATCTCAATCAAAATTTCAATTAAAAAAAAAAAGGCACTCTGGGCTTAACTTATTAAAGCCTTAGCTTCCACTCTCTGAATGCTACTGATTTACTAATCATCATTTATTTACTCAGGATTTCAAGATATATAAAACTTGATACTGCAGCAATCTTTCTAGGCATAGTAACCACATATCTTGGCATTTCTAGAACAATACTAATATTTCTTGTATTTTTATTACTTTTAATAGTATGGACCATTATAAAGGTAAAAGTAAGTGCAACAATTTAAATTTTTTATGTAAGTAAACAAATAGACAAAATTCTTTGTCAGACCATGTGTTCCAATTTTTGATGGAAGAAAAAAGAAAATATGTATATGATGAGTTCAGCTAAGCAATTACCCCAGGAGTCTCCCCCAGTTTCTTGAGTACTTTTTCTTTGTGACATCAGACAACTCTGGGTGTGTTTAGTCACTCACCAAGCATGGGGTGCATCTGTGTGTGTGCAGGGGACACATGAGGCACCATCTCTGCCAGGAAACAAGTAAACCCTCTGCACAACCACTCGGACCCTGACTACTGACCCTGCTGTGGCTCCCTGGCTTCCCACCACGTCCAGGAGAGAATCACTTGGAGAAGTGTGGGCTGGAAAGTGCTGTTTTGCTTCTTCCTGCTCATGGGTCAAGTCTGTCCCCATGGTGGTCATGCCTCCACATGTAACCTGGCCGAGACATGCAAAGGGAAGAGTTTTAGTTTGACTTATGATGGCATAAGCTGTCGACTCAACAGTGACATTCCTGGGCAATCCTATGATGTAACTGCACCACACTAAAGGAATGATGAGATGGAAACAGAGTCACCTACGGCATGGTACTCTGTGTTGGCCAGGGCCCTAATACAGTAAAACCTGTGAAAGTCGGAACCTGTATAAGGTGGAAACCTGTCAGAGAAGGAAAACTCAAATATTTTACAGTGATAGAGTGACAGAAAAGTCGTAAGACTGCACCCTGTCAAAGGCAAAAAATGTACGAGACTTGGAAAAACAATGTAGTCCTGTCGACTTCCAGCTCTCACAGGTTTCACTATACTAATGAGGATGGGGGGGGGAAGATGAGCAAGAGTAACACAGGGAACTGCAGGGTGTTTCCTCCACTGGAATCATAGACTGTCCTGGGTCTTTAAAAACACATAGAAAGTCCTGTTCAGTAGTAGGTAATCATCTCATGGTAATTTACAAATATATGTTAAACAGCAATGCACTTTGAGCCATATTTTAAATCTGTTACAATTAAATTGATTAAAGAGCCCTCCCTTTTGTATAATCCCCTCCAGATTAGGATCAAAGGGAGGTTTTGCTTGATTATACACATACATAACAGCTTGTCTACTCTTTCTATGTTTGTATTACCTCTCAAGCTATTTGTTGTTCTCAGTGTTCAGTTCAGCACCAGTGATCTTGAGAACTGTGTGCTGGCAGCTACATAAACACTTATGAATGATGCTCATCCCCCTGCTAGTGATTTCAGTGGCTCCCTAAACTCATCCTGGCAGATGATCATGGCTCAGGGTCAATAAAATTCCAAAAAATAATCTCCAGAGTACAATCTCAAGCTTATCCCAAGGGGTATAAATATGTGGAAAGGAAAACATCACTTTTTTAAAATAAAAGAAGCCTTAAAAATCTTGGACAATTACAAGATGAGAACAAAGAAAATGAAAATTGTCATATATTTTAATGAATTAGAAGATTAAAAATATGTAATTAAAAAAGGAAATGCTAAAAAAGAACATGATAAAATGCTGAACTGAACTTTAATTTTTTCAGACGTAACAATAATCACAAAATGCTCTAGCATATATATTTGCTGTTTATTTGGAGGGGGACAAAAGGTAAACATTCTCACTTACACCACCAAAGTCCCTTCAGATCTGGTCACCAGTGTTATCACAAAGCAGAAAACCTGTAAGCCAGTGACAGTTTACCTGAATTTCTGGTTTTACACACTTCAATCTGAACATTTGGGCCAAAGTGATGCTTCTTCTCAGAAGTGGGGAGTCCCGGCAGTGCACCACTGCCATTCTTTCTGAGTCTTCTTTGGCAATACTTTTCTGACAAAAATAAGTATTCAGAACAACAGGGCAACTTTCATCTGGGATAATAAGTTTTTGCCTGGAAAAAAAGAAGTACAAGAGTTTATTAGCAGTGTTGGTTTCCCCTCATATTCTTGCTAAATTAGGAATGCAAAATGCAGTGATCCAACTGCCCTGAACTGCGGAAATCAAGACACCTCCTGAGTCCTAGATGCCTTTACGCTCTCTAAGGGCTGCCAATGGACCTGACTCTATTTTTCAGGGGAAAGTCCTGTGTCAGGAGAGGGAAGCATGGAGGAGAGGCTGCCTAAGTTCTTGGGCTTGTTCTCCCTCAAGTCTCCCGAATCTAGGAGACTATGACTTCAAGACAGCTCAGGGAGACAAATGGAGTGAGCAAAGACTATTGACAGGCTCACAGTAGTGCCCAGACATGACACAAATGAAGTAAAAAATGAGTACAGGAAAATATAGACAAAATTCTCATGGCTCCTCTCAGAGCTCTCATTTGAGAAAACTCCTTAATCTAATACTCATTCCTCAAAACATGTAGAGCTGCTTAATGTGAAAAGAAAATTTTAGGACTTATGCTTCCGGGAAGATGGAGCAGACATACTTTTCCCTATCACTCCTGCTAAGTAAAACTAAAAACCCTGGGCATTATATATAAAATAAACACAAGAAGATCCTGAAAGGTGGCATGAAGGTAGTCTGGCTAGGGACCTTGGGACCTAAGGGCCAACACAGTGGTGAGTTCCCTGGGATTTTTGTTTTATATATCCCAGATATGGAGCTGGATAACTTGGCAGAATAACTTGGCAACCCTGAAACACCAATGGGCATAGACCAAAAAAAAAAAATACAAAAAAAAAACAAACGAAAGGCTGCTCTCTTCAATGAAAGGAAAGGAGAGGGGCAGCCTAGTGAGACACACAACTTTTAAACAGTAACTGCTCTGTTTCAGCTAAACACCAAAACAAACAAAACAAAAACACCACCCCCCCCCAAAAAAAAAAAAAAAAAAACAACTGAAACCAAAACTGGCCCATCCCAATCCTTCGCCAGCAGAGGTCTAGTGGGGAGCCAAGACTTGCACCCTTGCTAGGCTGTAATGAGAGAACTTCACTCAGCTGAGTGATTATCAGAGAAGCAGAAGAGGGAGACAGGATTTTTATCCCCATAGGCTTGTAACAAGACCTCCTCCCTCAGCCAGTGTTGGTGGAGACCACATGAAGAGCCTGGACTTCCACCCACATCAAGCAGTAGTAACCAAGCACCCCTCCTCTTATCCTCTGCAGTAGTGTCAGAGGAGAACTAGTGGAGAGTGAGGTCTTTCATTACTGCCAAGTGGCAATGAGGCTACCCTCTACCAGTAATGAGGCGCCCCTCACCATCCCAGTCAGGGTGGTATCACTGAAGGCCGAGTGCAGAGCTGGAATTCCCGCTCTTGTCTAGCAATAATGAGGAGTCCCTTCCCCTGTTGGGGTCAACGGAAGCATAGAGGGGAACCTGGATTTCTTCCTTCACTTGGTTGTAATGAGGTAGGGGTCCCCTTCCCCTGCTACAGCAGTATCAGATAAAACCATCTATAACATGTTTAAATAAAATCCAGAGTCTCAAGACATACTACCCAAAATGTCCAGGTTTCAATCTAAAAACAACTCATCACAGTAAGAACCAGGAAAAATTTTAATTTGAATGAAAAAAGGGAATTAATAGATGCCAATGCCAAGATAACACAGATGCTGAAATGATCTGACAAAAATTTTAAAGCAGCCATTATAAAAATGCTCCAAAGAGTAACGCACGTGAGACAATTAAAAAACAGACTGTCTCAGTAAAGAAACAAAGTTTTGGCAAAAAAAGACAGAAGACCTATACAAAACAGAAATTTTTGAACTGAAAATACAATAAGAAAACTAAAAAATTTCAATAGATAGGCTCAACAGAAGAATGGAGGGGAAAGGGAAAAGAATCAGTGAACTTGAAGATAAAATAAAAGAAATAACCCAATCTGAACAGAAAAGAGAAAATCAATTGGGGGAGGGGGGAACAACCAAGACTCACCTATGGAAAGGAAGAAAGAAAAACAGAAAGTGTAAAAAACAGATAAATATAATAGGCTTTCCTATTCCTCTTGAGTTTTCTAAATTATGCTTGGTGATTGAAACAAAGATTATAACAGTCTGAAGTGGTTCTACATATATGTAGAGAAAACATTAAAATAATCATATTATATTGCAGGGGAGGATAAAGGAGCATAAAAGGAAGTGTCTACACTTCACACAAACTTGTAAATCAGTGCCAGGAGACTGTGATGAGTTATTTTATATATACATTTATGCCTAGAGCTACTACTAAAGTAGCTATAAAGAGATGCACTCAAAAACACTACAGATAAATCAAAATAAGATTCTCAAAAGTATTCAAGAAACCCATATAAAGTCAGGGGAAAAAAAAAAGAAAAATTAAAAACAGAGAGAACAAAGAGAAAATAAAAAATAAAATGCTAGACTTAAGTCCTAACTTATCAACGATTACATTAAACGTATGGTCTAAATATACTGATTAAAAGACAGAGAACGATAGCGTGGATCAAAAAGCATAATCTACCTATATGCTGTCTACAAGAACCTTGCTTCAAATATAATATATTTGTTGTTGTTAGGCGCCATCAGTTTGGTTCCCACTCATAGAGATCCTACGTACAACAGAATGGAATACTGTCCAGTCCTGTACCATCCTGACAATCATTGTTATGCTTGAGCCCATTGTTGGAGCCACTGTGTCAATCCACTTCATTGAAGGTCTTCCTCTTTTTCACGGACCCTCTACTTTACCAAGTACAATGTCCTTCTCCAGGGACTGATCCCTCCTGATAACATGTCCAAAGTATGCCATTCTTGCTTCTAAGGAGCATTCTGGCTTTATTTCTTCCAAGACAGATTTATTCATTCTTTTGGCAGTCCATGGTATATTCAATACTCTTAGCCAACACCATAATTCAAAGGGGTCAATTCTTTGGTTTTTCCTTATTCACTGTCCAGCTTTCGTATGCATATTAAGTGTCTGAAAACCCCACGGCTTTGGACAGGTGCACTTTAGTCTACAAGGTGACATGTTTGCTTTTTAACACTTTGAAGAGGTCTTTTGCAACAGATTTGCCCAATGCAATGTGACGTTTGATTTTTTGACTGCTGCTTCCGTGGGTGTTGAATGTGGATCTAAGTAAAATGAAATCCTTGGCAACTTCAATCTTTTCTCCATTTATCATGATGTTGCTTATTGGTCCAGTTGTGAGGATTTTTGTTTTATGTTGCAGTGTAATCTATACTGAAGGCTGTAGTCTTTGATCTTCATCAGCAAGTGCTTCAAGTCCTCTTCACTTTCAGCAAGCAAGGCTGTGTCATCTGCATAATGCAGGTTGTTAATGAGTCTTCCTCCTATCCTGATGCTGTGTTCTTCTTTATATAGTCCAGCTTCTTGGGTTATTTGCTCAGCATACAGATTGAATAAGTACGGTGAAAGGAGATAACTCTGATGCACAGCTTTCCTGACTGTAAATCATGCAGTATCCCCTTGCTCTGTTCTAACAACTGCCTCGATCTATGTACAGGTTCCTCATGAGCACAATTAAGTGTTCTGGAATTCCCATTCTTCTCAATATTATCCATAATTTGCTATGATCCACATAGTTGAATGCCTTTGCATAGTCAATAAAACACAGGTAAACATCTTTCTGGTACTCTCTGCTTTCAGCCAACATCCATCTGGTATCAGCAGTGATATCCCTTGTTCCATGTCCTCTTCTGAATCCGGCTTAAATTTCTGGCAGTTCCCTGTGGATGTACTGCTGCAACTGCTTTTGAATGATCTTCAGCAAAATTTTACTTGTGTGTGATATTAATGATATTGTTTGATAATTTCAGCATTCTTTTTGATCACCTTTCTTTGGAATGGGCACAAATATGGATCTCTTCCCGTCGGTTGGCCAGGTAACTATGTTCCAAATTTCACTTCCAGTGTTGCATCCATTTGTTGAAACATCTCAATTGTCAGTTCCGGAAGCCTTGTTTTTTGCCAATGTCCTCAGTGCATCTTGGACTTCTTCCTTCAATAACCTCGGATCTTGATCATATGCTACCTCCTGCAATGGTTGAACACCGACCAATTCTTTTTGGTACAGTTACTCTTGTGTGTTCCTTCCCTCTTCTTTTGATGCTTCCTGCATCGTTTAATATTTTGCCCATAGAATCCATCAATATTTCAAATCAAGGCTTGAATTTTTCCTTCAGTTCTTTCAGCTTAAGAAATGCCAACTGTGTTCTTTCCTTTTGGTTTTCTAATCTCAGGTCTTTGCACATTTCATTATAATACTTTTCTTTGTCTTCTCAAGCTACCCTTTGAAATCTTCTATTCAGCTCTTACGTGACCATTTCTTCTGTTCGCTTTAGCAACTCTAAGTTCAAGAGCAAGTTGATATTGGCATCTTTCAACATCTATTTTGTTCTTTTCTTTCTTTCCTGTCTTTTTAGTAACCTTTTGCTTTCTTCACGTATGATGTCTTGATGTCATCCCATAACTCATCTGGTCTTTGGTCACTAGGGTTCAATGTGTCAAATCTATTCTTGAGATGGTCTTTAAATTCAGGTGGGGTATTGGCTCTCTTGGACTTATTTCAATTTTCTTCAGCTTCAACTTGAACTTCCGTATGAGAAATTGATGGTCTGTTCTGCAGTTGGCCCCTGGCCTTGTTCTGACTGACGCTACTGAGCTTTTCTACTGTCTCTTTCCACACATGTAGTTGATTTGACTCCCGTGTATTCCATCTGGCAAGGTTCAAGTGTATGATCACTGTTTATGTTGTTGAAAAAAGATGAAAAATTCATTGGTCTTGTAAATTCTATCATGTGATCTCGAGTGTCATTTCTATCACCAAGGCCATATTTTCCTACTACTGTTCCTTCTTCTTTGTTTCCAACTTTTGCCTTCCAATCACCAGTAATTATCAATGCATCTTGATTGCATGTTTGATCAATTTCAGACTGCAGAAGTTGGTAAAAATCTTCAATTTCTTCATCT